TGAAGGGACTGTTCCATTTTTTGTCTCAGTCTTCCCAGTGCCTAGTACAGTGTTGGGCACAAAGCAAGTGCTTAATAAATGCATGTTGGCTGGTTGGTGGATTGAGCGATTCTCTTCCTTGCTCGGAGCCTCAGTTTCCTCATCTGTAAAATGTGGGGGACTCAATTAGATGGCTTCTAAGGTCCCTTCCGGTGTGATTCATTTTTCCTGACCCCACTATTCATTTTCTGAGCAAGCCCCTTCACCGCCTGTCTGGGCCTGAGTTTACCTGAGCAGAGGGGAACTGGTCCAGGTCAGAAAGAGAGCAGGTCATAGCTTCTGCACTGATCAGTTTTAGAATTGGGCCCACGAGTGGCCCCGGCGCTTCCAGCCTGAGGGAGGTAGGGAGACCCGGCCTTAAAAACAGCAGCAGCAACCACAACAACAAAGTGGAGCCAACCAAGGGTAGGATGGCCACCTGGGCTGGGATTGGATCCCTCCTCATTGTGGGTCTGCAGGCAAACAGTCATAGCTTTGGAGCAAGAAACTGGCGAGTCAGTCACGTTCCAGAGGAGAAACTGAGGCCCAGCGAGGACGGGATTTGCTCCAGAACCAGGGTCTGAGCTCAGGCGAGTTTTTCCTCTCTCCACAGCACTGATAGAGGACCGCTGGAGAACGTTCTAGACCCGTTCAGGTAGAGGTTGGATTAGATGGCCTGAGGGTCCCCCCCAGCCCAGATTCTGCCATTCTCAGACCTCCTGAAGCAGCAAACAGCATGCAAGGCCGTGCTCAGATACAGCTTAGGTGTTAGTTGATAAGCCATCATCAATTTTGTTCAGTCCATCAAGCATTTATGAAATGCCTGCTGTGTGCCAGGCATTATAGTGTTGATCGCTATGCTCTATAAACCTATCTTTCAGGAAAGATGTCCCACTTTCCTGATGTGAGACACTTAGGATCATAGATTTAGAACCAAAAGGGACCTTATAGGTTGTTGAGGCCATTTTACAGCTGAGGAAACTGAGACTGAGAGAGGTTTCTTGGCTTGCTCATGGTCGCACTGCTAGTAAGTATCTGAGGTGGCATTTGGACTACGATCTCCCTGACTCTGAGGGGTCCAGCTGGGCCCAGCACACAGTTATTATTGGAAGCTCTGACTCACTGTTTGAGTCAGCTGGTCTGAATGGCATTCCACTTAAGGGAGGAACCTGGAGCTTCTGCTACAGGTGAAGTGACAAACGATGGTGGGCAAAGAGGGTGAGGCCATGTGCAGCCTCAAGGCCGAAGGTTCCTCATCCTCGGATAAAGACAAACTGGCTCCTCCCATTCTCCCCCCCACCCCAAAAAAGTAAAGGCTTCCAAGTCTCCTGGGAGGGACCATGTGCAGGAAGTAAAATGCTTGTAGGAGCTGCACTCCGAGTGCTGGGAGAGTGGGAACAATAAAAAAAAAAAACCAACAACAAGAAGAAAAGATACAGACATACAAATCACAGATCAGTGGCCTGAGCGATGGGAGGACACATGCAAATATTCTGGAGGAGGAGGAGGCCAAGCTTATGTCATGGCGCCTGGACCACGTCCCCTTTTATACCCTAACCACGGACGTGATGCAGACCCTTCTGTGGTTCAGTCGTTTTCTGTCGTGTCCGACTCTTTGTGACCCTTATTTGGGGTTTTTGGAAGGGTTTGCCATTTCCTTCTCCAGCTCATTTGACAGATGAGGAAAGTAGCCCAGGGTCACCCAGCTAGTAAGTGTCTGAGGCCAGATTTGAACTCAGGAAGATGAGTCTTCTTGACATGGGTCAGCCCTGTATCCACTGTTCCACCTAGTTGCCCAGTGCAGGCCCAGATTCTGCCCATGTTACACAATGTGCTTATAGATAAACGACACATGGGGGTTGGTTTGTCTTCCTCTATGTGACATTAGGAAATTTGCGGCCCCTTCTCTAGGTGGAATGGAGGAGTGTTGAGGAACTGTGACATGAAGTAAGGTTAGAGATCTGAGAACTCTCCCTGCTGCCATCTGCCCCATTGGCTGCCATGTTTAAAGAGCCTAGAATTTAAGGACCGAAAGGGACCTTAAAGATTATCTCATCCAACGCCCTCGTTTTAAAAATGAGGGAACTGATGACGGTTAGAGAGAGCAGGCAGTGGTAGAACGGTCATTATAGTCTGAGGCCGGATACACTTCTGGCATTGGTTAATGCTTCTGAGGAAACCTGAGGAGGCCAAACCACTGTGTTTCCTGCCCAAAAGAACTGTTTCCTTTCATCATTTTGCTGTCTTCAAATCCTTTCAGTTGAACTATGAAGAATATGGAGGTGGGAGGGAGGATCTGTGGGCACAGGGCCAAGCAGGATTTCTCTGTCCATTGGTCCTTTCTTAGAGTTGGGTTTCCAAGGTTTCCATAGAGGTCAGGTGACTTGCCCGGGGCCGCACAGCTAATAAGCTGTGTCTAAGGTTGGATTTGAACTTGGTTTTTCCTGACTCCAAATCCAGCCCTCTCTATGCACTATATCACCTAGCTGCCTCTCATCCCTCTACACACCAGCCCCTCTAAGGAATCTCCATCTGAGCACTAGGGCCATCATTAACCCAGTTAAAATACCCATCTCCAAATGTGACAGGGGGTTTAGAGGTGAGCAGAAAGCCAGAGAGGGACCTCGATTGGCTATGCTAAACTTTGTGCTTGGAGTGGCTGATTCCTGAAATAGAGATTTAAGAAACAGAGCCAGTCTTATCCTTTTTTCCCTCCCCGGATCCAAAATTCCAAGGCACAGAATTTGTGCCACACAGGGGCAGCTAGCTGGCTCAGTGGATAGAGCACTGGGCCTGGAGTCAGGAGGACCTGAGTTCAAATCTGGCTTAGACACTTACTAACTGTGTGACCCTGGACAAGTCACTTAACCCTGATTGGCTTAAAAAAATCATGCCACACATTCTTACAGGTAGAACAACCAAGCTCTCTGCTTGGAAGAAGCGCCTGCTGCCCTCCCGTATTAGAGTTTTGTATAGACCAATATCCTTTCTTCCCCACAATCATTCATTTTCCATCTGTCCTCCCTGAGTAGGACCTACTTAGAATTATTAATCCTTTGCCTCTTCCATTAGATAGACCAGGCACTGAAACAAGGCCTCTCTCACAGACCCCACGTGGTGAGAATCTGTTCCTGTGTCCCTGCCTCAGCCAGGTGCCACAGCAAGACTTGAAATTAGGAAGACCTGAGTTCAAATCCTGCCTTGGACACTTGCTAGTTATATGGCCCTCAGCAAACCACTTAACTCCTTTCTGCCTCTATTTCTTTCATTGTTAGATGAAGGGGTTGAAGTTACTGATCTCTAAGGTCCCTTTAGGCTCAAAAATCTATGGCCCTGTAATGGTGACCTTTAGAGTTCTGGCCTTCCCTACAGCATTGTGCCCTCCTCAGAAGGAGCTGCCCCGAGGAGGTTTAAGGAAGAGCCATGTAAGCAGCCATGTTGGGACTGAGAGGCAGGAAGCGTGGTTGGTGGAACGGTGGCTGTATTAACCTGGAGAAGAGAAGGCTGGGGGAGGGAGGGAGGCAGGCAGAGAATCCTAGGGCCAGAGTTGGAAGGGCCAGGGGATGGCCTGTTGGGGCAGGGTTGTCAGAGACCCTGAATTTCATTGGGTGGCCAGTAACTCAAAAGCCATCTAGTTCAACCCCCTTCCCTTTACGGATAAGGAAAAAAGGTGTAGTATGACTAAGTGACTTGTCCAAGGTCCACAGGTAGTGAATCCTAGAGGTGGACTTTGCACCCAGGTCCTCTGACTCCAGGGCAGCTAGGTGGCACAGTGGAGAAGACCTCAGACACCTACTAGCTGTGTGACCCTGGGCAAGTCACTTAACCTGTTTTGCCTTAGTTTCCTCATCTGTCCAATGAGCTGGAGAAGGAAATGGCAAACCACTCCAGTATCTTTGGCAAGAAAACCCCAAATGGGGTCGTAAAGAGTCAGACACAACTAAACGACAACCCCCGACTCCAACAGCAGGTCTCTTTCTGCTGAAGCACGCTGTCAGATAACAGTCTTCACATGTTTGAAGGACTGCTGTGTGGAACAGGCAGATTTCCACTTTAGCATACCAAAAACTTGCTCACACTTGGAGCTCTCCAAAGGTGGAAAGGACTGCCTTGGAAAGGGATGGGTTCTCCACCATCAGATGTCTTTAATTAAAAACTAAAAGACCACTCCTCTTGGGAATGATTCAGAAGGGAGAAAGAGAGACAGGAGAGACAGGCAGGGAAGAAGAGGAGGAGGGGGAGGAGGGGAAAGGAGGAGGAAAAGGAAGTTTCTTTTTGCTTGTGGGTGAGCTGGGAAAGGCAAAGCAACAGTTTGTGCATTGATAGTACCAGGTGTGGAGAAAAGGCGTGGTTAACAACTGGAGAACCATGGGCCCTAGCCACAGAGGATGAATTTACTGGCCAGAACCTACATACTGGGAAAGGATGAGGGGAAAGGCGTTTCCTTGGTATAAAGACGTCCAGAATGTGCAAGGATTTCGAAAGTTCAGTGGTTTTCATATATTTTCCTCACTTTCCAGACAAAACGATAAGAATAAGAATTGTTTGGAATTAACAACATTGCTTAGAACAGAGGTGTCACAGACACCAAGGTGCATACAGCCTGAGGCCCCAAACAGTATTAAAATGTAACTGGGAAATATTTAACCAAATAAATACAAATATAATAAAACACTGAGAATGTTAATACGTGGTTTTCTAAGTCAGCATGCATTTGCAGGGATCCTTATACCGGACTGAGTGGTTCCCGTTTCTATCTGAGTTTGACACCAGTGGCTTAGAACATATGGTCCTTGTGAGCAGGGATTATTTCATTATTTTTTTGGCCTTTGTCTCCCTAGGGTCTAGAATAGCACGTGGCACACAGTAGGTGACTAATAAATGTTTGTTGATTGATCAACTATTCCAACTTTCCAACTAGCTGCTTTCTGATATACATTCACTCGGTTGTTTTTGTTGTTTTCTTTTTTCCTCCTTTTCAGAAAGAGGATCTTCAGGTCTATGAAAAATACTGTCAAAATAAGCCACGGTCTGAAACACTGTGGAGACAATGTGGAGACAGCATCTTCTTTCAGGTACAGCTCAATACAAATCCCTGAGAGCCTTAAGCAAGCAACCACCATTCTTCCTATAGTACAGAGGTTCAAGCTCTGGACTCAAAATCACAGGGGCCATCCTGGGTTCGAATCTGGCCTCTCAATGATTACTAGCTCTGTGACCCTGGGCAAGGTATTTCACCTAAGTTTGTTTCCTCATCTGTAAAGTGAGTGTAGTAATATCAATGTCGTATACCTCACAAGACTGTTGTAAGACTTAAGTGAAACAAAAGAGACAGACAGACGCACACCCACAGACAGAAAGAGACAGAGACAGAGAAAGATGAGGGACATAGTAGGTAGATAAGATAGATGATAGATAGAATAGGTAGATAAATGGAGATAGAATAGATAGATAGTATAGAGATAGATAAACATAGATGATAGGAAGGAAGGAAGGAAGGGAGAGAAAGAAGGAAAGAAAAAGAAAGAGAGAGAGAAAGAAAGCTTCGCATAATACTATACAATTTTTTTTAAAATGTCATTTGTTTGTTTGGTCCAAACCTGTGACTTTATTGGTACAAGGAAAACCTAGTGAAGAGATTCCTTCTCCCAATGGAGATCAGCACTGTCTCGATTTAGGGAGTTTCCTAGAATAAGTGACTTCCCCAGGGTCACAGAGCCAATAGGCATCAGAAGCATTGCTTGCACCAAAGTCTTCCTGTTTTTAAAATCAGCTCTGTATCCTCACTCTGCCAGTATTGTTATTATTATCTTCATCACTATCACTCTTTAAAGAAACCCAGATCTTTTCATCTACTCCTAAGAGTTTGATCCTAGAGCAAAGTGACATATTTGATTAAAAGCATCTAGTCTGTTTTTTTCAGACAACACATAAAGCAGAGACAGTAGATGATAATAATCTCTTGATAGTGGAGATGAAAAATAAACCTGACTTTGGTCCACTGAGAGTTTAATGACTTGCCCAGATCACATAACCAGCGTGTATCAAAGGCAGGACTTGAACTCAAGTCTTACTGGTTTCAAGGCCAGTTCTCTGTCCATTACTCCAGGATGTTATTTCTCATCATCATCATCATCATCATTGTCATCACCATGTAAAGAACCCCAGAATTTGTCATCTGCTCAGAGGAATTTGGTCATAGGGCCAATATGACTTACTTGATTAAAAGAGTCCATTGTATTTTGGAGAAGAGATATAAAGAGAAGTGAAAATAAATCAGACTCTGGGTCCAAAGTCATTACTTCAGCCTTCTTTTCAGTCTCTATGGAAAGATCCTTCCTTCAGCTGAGGAGGGGTTGTAGCTATGAAATAAAATTAATCAGTTTTACCTTGGTGATAGGAGGTGTCTTGAAAGCTGAGCTCAGCATGGGAAAGAACATACTGTCAACTGTGTGGTTTCCACCAGACCCCAGCACACATGAGAAGGGTGTAAATTTCTCTCACCAGGCCTCTGTCCTCTTCAGAAGAACCTAAAGTTCTCTTGTCTGCTAGTAGACTTGCTCATAAAAGGCCTGTGTCCGTGGACAAAACTCCCTACCTCCTCAGCTCTCCAGTGGAAGCAGCCATCCCACTTCTACCTTATTTCCTGTTCCCTCTCTTCCCTACACGTTTCACTCCAAACACTGGAGAACCACATGGTTAAATGAGAAAAACTGATCAACCCAGCAGCCAAGGGCCTGTTTTAGCCACGCTTGTCTAAATGCTTCTCCTTTCTCTACCTTTTTCCTTTCCTTTCCTTTTTGTTTTCCAAAGGAATGTCAGCGCAAGTTGGACCACAAACTCTCCCTGGATGCTTACCTCTTAAAACCGGTCCAGAGAATCACAAAGTACCAGCTGCTTTTAAAGGTAAAGGAAATGAGGCCACGATTTTGTACTTCAGAAAAATGGACGATGGATGTGGTCACCATATATCGGGGATTTTTCTAGGGCAGTCCTGATATCAAGTGTGCATAAGACCACGGGATTTAGAACTAGAAGAGACACTGGACATCATCTAATTAGTCCAACCCTCTCATTTTATAGATTTCTATCCCATTGTTTCCATAAAGCATCAAAATGCCCCAGAAATGACAATATTTTGTTAAATAAGAACTGAACGAATTTTACTCAGTGGGCATTATAATGGAAACATACAGATGTCCCAGAAGTCTTAGTGCAATTTAAAACAGCTTAAAATTGGACGTAGTTTTAAGCTATTTAAAAATGCAATAAGACCGTTGGGACACCCTGTATGCTAATACCAAGAATCCATGATCTTTTAGCATGGGAAACTCATCATGTGGGAACTCTGTCTACCAACCCAGATCAATCTATGACTTAGTAGATAAGTCTTAGGGATTGTCAGAGGTTCAGAATAGTTGTGTTCCAAAAGTTACCAAACTACTAAGTGTCAGAGTCTCGATTTGAACTCATGGTAAAGGGGCTCAGGATGCTGAATCTAGAGTCCAGAGGCCTGGGTTTTCTTTGTCACTCACTCTCTGTGGGGAAAATGTAGGGGGAGGAGGATGCCGAATAAGTCATGACTGGGCCCAGCCTGCCTGTATATCTTTTTCTTTATAACTTTCCACGGTAGAGTAACGGCAAGGCCAGTACTCCGTTAAGAACTGCAGGATCTTGCTTTTAAGAAGGTAAGAAATTGTGGCTTATTGTGCAATGGAACACCTGAGCACCTCCATTCACTGGCCTGCTGCTATGTGTTTCTGAAACCAAGGCTACCAATGCCCAGTGAGTTCCCCGTCATGGAGCCACTGCCTCGCTTGGGTTCTTGGCAGAAGAAGTGAAGGGGGCATTTAGTGAGCAAACAGCACTCAGGCCTTGTAGGACTACTTCAAAATCGAGCCAGAAACAAGAACCTTTGAGTGTTTAGTAGGGGATAGGTAAATAGCCCGTGAATGGGGCCTGTGGATTGAACACTGAAATCACAAAGGTAAACTTTCCTAGCTACAATTCTCCTGATCATGTGTTTATTGAGCCAATCAATAAGCACAGCTTTTTTGGTCTTTTAATTAGCAATTATCCTCTCCACCCCTTGTTGTTTTTATTATTGTTCAGTCAAGTCTGACTCTTCATGACCCCGTCTGGGGATTTCTTGACAAAGACACTGGAGTGGTTTGCCATTTCCTTTTCCAGCTCATTTCACAGATGGGGAAACTGAGGCAAATAGGGTTAGGTGACTTGCCCAGAGTCACACAATTAATAAGTGTCTAGGGCTGGATTTGGGCTCAGAAAGATGAGTTTTCCTGACTCCATGCCCAGCGCTTTATGGGCTATGGCGCCACTTAGCTGCCCCTAGCTCTCCGTAATGCAAAGTGTTTTATGTTTTGCAAGTATTTGACCAAATGTGATTTGGCATAGAGCTAGGGAAAGGAAAATTTGATTTCATGTGTATACTTGCCTAATGGGTAAAGATATCAGTGGGAACAGCTTCCCTTCCTAGTGTCAGAGGACCTAGGTTCAAATCTCATTTCTGATGCTTGCTACCTGTGTGACCTTGGGCAAGTCATTTAATCTCAATGGGCCTCAGTTTCCTTATCTGTAAAATGAGAGATCTGGACTCGAGTTGCCTCTGAGAGCCCTTATCTTTATCTGTCTGTGATGGTCATAAGTGAAGGATCCTAGACCTAAAATCTGGGTGAGAGGCTTACTTTGGTTGTGTCCATCGTGATAAACACAGATGGCAGGTACAACGGAACTGGGAATCACAAGACTTGGGTTCCAGTTCTGGCTGTGCCTTTTCCTTCTTGCATGACTGTGAGAATGTCACTCAGCCTCTCCGTCCCTCGCTTTCTTCAGCTGTAAAATGAGAGAAATTGGACCGGTGGCCCTCTTGAAGCCCGTCCTGGCTCTGAATCCACGACTGTAGGGTCCCATCTGCATTTAGCTATTCCCAAGGCAATGAAAATAACAGGAATAAGATTGTCTCCTAAATCTTAGAAAAAAGTTTCTTTGGGGGCAGCTAGGTGGTACAATGGATAGAGCACTGGCCCTGAAGTCAGGAGGACCTGAGTTCGAATCCGGTCTCAGATCAAACCCTGGACACTTACTAGCTGTGTGACCCTGGGCAACTCACTTAGCCCCAATTGCCTAAAAAAAAAAAAAAAAAAAAAAGTTTCTTTGCAGCTAGGTGGCCTAGTGGATAGAGCACCAGCCGTGGAGTCAGGAGGACCTGAGTTCAGATGTGACCTCAGACACATAACACTAGCTGTGTGACCCTGGGCAAGTCACTTAACCCCATTGCCTAGGCAAAAAAAAAAAAAAGAAAAAAAAAGAAAAGAAAAAGCAAAACATTTCTTGCCTTGTGTCTTCCAAGAAGGAGAAGGTTGTTTTGAAAGGTTTGCTTTCTTTATATTTTAAATACCTGGACTCTTTGCCTTGCAGGAAGAAAAATACACATGCATTTTCCGTGTCTAGGTCTTTCCTATTAATTAGGAAAGATGGTCTTATCTTCCTTGCCAACATCATCAAGTGATGTAGAAATCAATTCTGTGGCTCATCTAAAAGCCAAATGTTGACTCACCTCTGTCCCCTTAGCTGGGGCTGGGGCTGCTTTTCTGGGTCAATGTCTTGTCCAAGATCTAGGGGCCATTATCACAATAGATTGGGATGATCTTGGGCCTTTTGACTTCCCATATGATTTTTTGGTTCCCATAGGAGATGCTGAAGTGTAGCAAGAATTCAGAAGACACAGCAGAGCTGGAAGAAGCCCTGGCCACTGTCCTGGATATCATTAAATCAGTCAATGACTCCATGCATCAGATTGCAATCACTGGCTATGAGGTAGGTGTGGACCTCCGGAGATGTGAGAGTTATCCTTTCATGCAGAGGGCAAGTCAGAAAGGAGGAGGATGGGCGTCAGGGAGGAGAAAAAAGTGAAGGCAAGAAAGGAGCAAGTAATTATTACAAAAAAAAATTCTTTTTCTCGGGGTGGGGAGTAGAAACATTATAAAACTGAGCTTCATGACTCAGAGTTGTTTTTTAGCATTTTCAGGTATTTTGCTTTCCCTCAAGGCCAGAGTTGTTTTCATCTGGATAGAACAGAAATCTAGGGGTCAGAATTCATTTGGGTAGGGTGACGTTGAGGAAACTGAGGCAGACACGAGTTTAGCAGCAGGATCACCTAGCTAGGATGTGTCTGAGGTAAATTTGAACTCATGTCTTCCTGACTTTAGGCCCAGTGCTCTATCCACTACATTACTCATCTGCCTTTTTATTGGGGAGATTTCCCCGTAACTTTATACAGCTACATTCAACACACACACAGCTAGTGCCTACTGCGTACAAGGCTCTGTCTCTGACAATTAAGATCGGATCCCTACATTCCAGGAATTATCCCAAACAAGCTAGCAGAGGGAGTGATGGGAGTTCATATGGGCCCTGGGAGGAAGAATTAGCTTCCTAGCATTGTCTCTTTCTTGGTAAACAGAAGCATTCTTATTAAATACCCATTTTCACATACCAGAGCAGTGCCCGGAAGGCCACTGGCAGGAATGAGATACTTACCATCCAAGTTTAAATCATATAAGAGAGGAGGAAATAATGAGGAAAAGGCATGTGTGAAATGTTAGGAAACAGCCATCTCCTCTAATTAAATCTGGACAGATGCAAGCCTGTTGGCACACAAGATGATTCATCTTGCTCGCCAAGCTTAGGTGGGAGGGATATGGTGGCCCCTGGAAAGATGAGATCTAATTATCTGGGTTTGGCGGCATCATGGGACCTCAGCATCACTTTTGGGAACCCTATGTCATTCCCAGTGATAAGTGTGAAATATCCCTGACAGCTTCAGGGTGGGACCCAGGGAGGGAAAGGCCTTAGTCGCAGTCACACGGAGAACCGGCCAGCCTTGAGCTTGGGGTACCTGACCGCCAACGTGGCCTCTTCCTCTCAGCGCTTTCTGATCTAGCTCTGGCTGTGAAACAGCAACAGGAAGGAATCAAAGCAGGTTGGTCTGAGGGTTGAAAATGGAAACACAGAGTTTAATGGTGCTCTTCTCCTACAAGCCTGTGGAAACGAGTGTGTGTGTGTGTGTGTGCGCGCGTGTGTGACTCCGTCAGACTCTGTCATATCCGTTTGTATACAACTCACAAAGTGGATCACTCACAGGACCGTGGGATCACAGACCTGGAGCATGAGAGCCCATCTAATCCAATCATTGCCCCTCATAAATATAATCCCACTTCCCCCTCCTAAAACACGAACCTCTTCAGAGTAGGGACAGGCCCATTTTTTCATCGTGTCTTATGAATGCCTAACAGATAGCTCTTGTTGCTGGTATGTCTTTCAGACCAGGTCTCCCTTCCTCCCTCAGCCTGATCTTGCCCTGATCTGCATGGGAGCTTTAACTTGCTCCTTTTCTGAACCCCTCCTTAAGCAACCTGGTCTCCCCAACCCCCTACCCCAGCTCACCGTATCAGTCTCAAATTTAGTTGGAACACCTGATGAGCCCAGCCTGCTACAGCTCAAAACTCCTGAGCTCAAGAGATCCTCTAGCCTCTCAGCCTCCCTGGTATCTATGATTGCAGGTATGCACCACCATGCCCTAACAAATGGCTTTTAAAAAATGGGATTGAATGCCAGAGGAAGTATTGTGATTGTAATGGGAGGACCCGGTCTTTAAGGCATGTACCTTTTGCTGTCTGATGCCAATCCCCATGGAGGCATGGCGACCCTGCTTCTGGAAATGTGAGATGGAAGGACCTTTTCCCTTCCCCAACAAATGATTAAAAGATGAGTGGATATTCATTGTAAGCTTCCCAAAGGGAAGGAGTGGATCTTGATGGGTTCTGTATTTCCCAGGACACCTTGCACAATGCTGGGTGGTTAGAAAGAGCTCAGATGTTTTCCCCCAAGAGTAATAGCCCAATGGAAGACTTGGGCAACTTCTCAACCTCCTTCGAGATTGACAGATTCAGTGGGAAAAGAAGGATCCAATTCCACCAGGTTATTGTGGCCAGTGACTTCACTACGCCATGGCGTTTGCCTTCTGTGCTGGACTTTGTAACAACAATCTTTTTACCCAAGTGTGTTTCCTGACTCTTTTGATGGTGGGTTTGCCAACAGCTGTCATATGGTCACCAGAATGATTAATGAGGCCAGCAGTAAAAGATGTTCATGTGATTGTTTGACTTCACACAATGCACTCAATTTTTTTTGTTTATTTGTTTTTTTTTTGTTGTTCCTCAATCCTCTAGGGTACTCCCAAAGGATTCAGGATGGCTTCTCTCTAATGTTATCATCTTGAGCCCCACCCCCTCCCCAGTTATGTTTCCTCCACTGTTAAGTGCCAATGAGTAGCATCCTGGTTCCATTTAACCACTTACCACCAATTAGACTTTACAAAGGAATTTTTCCTTTAAAGATAGAGCAATCACAAAAGTACATTTCCTTCCAATAGCTCAGGTGTGTATACTCTCCCCTACCCCACCTTGATTTCCAGGGAAAATGGGCTCAGACAAAACTTAGTTTCTACATAAGATTGGCCCCACCAGCTTCACGTTCAGTTACTAAATGACTGCCAAAGGTCTCTCCCCTCACATCACTGTCTGTCACCGGAAACCATCAGTGGAGTCAAATTACCAAAGTATAGGCAAAGAGAAAAGTGACAAAGGTTTCAGTGCTAATCCTTTTGGAATGTCTTAGCGACCAAAGAGCCTTCTATACATCATGTGGTTAGGCAACCAAAACCAATTACAAAGTATCTACACATGTTCCATGTCTCTCCAAGGCATTTCTAGCACACACCATCACTTGTCTCCACATGGGGAGAAGATGGCAGAGGTGCTCTGTGTAGCAGCCAGTCCCCATTATACTGTACCAGTGGGCCTTGCCATCTGCCTGGCAGCTGAGCCTTCCTATATGTGTTGTCTCTCCCCTTAGAATCCGAGCTCCTTGAGAGCAAAGGCTTTACTATTTGTATGTGTGACCAATCTCTGCTGCCCTTGAATTTTCTTCTTAAATTTCTGATCTGCTCTTGGTGCTTGATTTGTGACTTTGGGCAAGTCAGTTGACTTTCCTGGGCCTCAATTTCTTTATTTATAAAGTGAGTAAGTTGGACTAAGTGTCCTCTGAGGTCCCTTCCAGTTCTGGATTGGTGATCCCCTGATCCCCTGAGTGGCTCACTTGGTGAATTCTCATCAGTAAAATTTCCACCCCAACATGCTCACCCGTATTGCTTCCTGATTCCCTCATCACTACCACCCCTGCTGCCGTCTGTGAAGCAAATGTAATATTAGTTCACATTAGGCAAAAATCTGCTGGTACCTGAAGAAGGTGGGTGGGGCAGGGAAGCATGCCATTCATGATAATGTCAAATGAGAATTTTTTGAGATATCTCTTGATTTAGATAACTCCTGCCACAGTCCCATTAGTGCAAATTAATAGCTAGAATTCATATAGTGCTTTAGGTTTACAAAGCTCCTTATAAATATTATCCCACTTGATACCTCCTTTGTGAGGTAGGCACTATTATTATCTATTATCTCCATTTTACAAATGAGGAAACTGAGGCAAACAGGGTTAAATGGCTGTGCCCATGGTTACATAGTTAGTAAGTGTCTAAGGGTGACTACAGGCCTGGAGCTCTATCTACTGTACCACCTAGATGCCTATAATATATATATATATATATATATGTATATATATATGTGTGTGTGTGTGTGTGTATGTATAATCAGTATATATGCATATATTTAATATATACAGCTGTAGCTCTCTCTCTTTCTCTGTCTCTCTTTCTTTCTCTTCTGTCATATCCTCTGGGCTACCTCCACAATTCATCCCTTACAGGTTTGCGGGTTGAGCTCAAAAGGGGGTGGTTATTACCTCAAGTTCAAAGTAATCAGACACAATTAACTCAAAGTAAAGGCATTTTACTTCGCTGGGGTAGTGAGAAGAGTAGCTACACAACATTCCCCTCATAAACCTGGGACATCCTCTCCCAAAGATTTATCCAATGTCAGCAGGAAGAGCAGGTGCAGATGAGGACATACGGGTAGTGGGGCAAATGCACATTGATTACATCGGGTCCTGCTGGGTCCTGCCGGCTCCCTCCTGCCCTGTTTTTCTCACTCTAGACCCTGGCAGGTCTGAGCAGCTCGCTTGTCTGCTCTCCCTGGACCTGCTTCGTGCTGTAGCTTGGCTCTTGATGGCCTGGGCAGGTCCTCTCTTGAATCTGTAGTCATCTCTAGTGTCTGCTACCAAGGGTCCCGTTACTCAAATCGGTTTCCCACCCACAACTCTCTGACTCTGTTTCCCAATAGGTGGAGTGTCTTTTTCTGATTGGGGATGGGTAGGAGAAGGCAGAGAGATGCCTCCGGCAGAGGCACAGGGACCGCACTCCACAAGGTGTTTGGTATCTTCAGTGTGTCTTGCATGAACCTCATCTGCCTCCAAGGCTGAAAGGCCAGCTGGGTAGCCAGCCTTTAGCCAGCCAAGGGCCAGTTATCCTTCCAATTTCTTCAGAGAAACCTCTTCACAATTTCTAGAGATAACTACTAGGCATGGTTACCTCCTAGCAGTTGGCTTACCCATCAATATCTCATTAATTCTGTTATCTATGCCTTACTTTCTGTGATTACATCAACCAGAGTAGGTCAAGGTGAGGTGGGAGAAACAACTTCTCTCCCCCATTACACATACAATGACTTTTGCAATAGAAATGACAGGTCCCTAAAAGGAAGTTAAACTGTTGAGTAGTAGACAAACCAAGAGAAAAAGGAAATAAGCCTTTATTAAGCATCTCCCTTGTTCCGGTCACTGTTCTGAACTCTTTTATTACTTCATTTGACCCTTATTGCAATCTTGTGAAGATAGGTGCTATTAATCTCCCCTATTTTGCACTTTACCCATGGTCACACAACCGGGGAGTGTCTGAAGTCAGATCTGAACTCTGGTCTTCCCGATTCCCGGTGGAGCTGAGAATTCTGTATTCACTGAGCTACCTAGCTGAGGAGATGATGCAACATACCTTCAGCCTCATGTCAGACAGGTAGAGGCTGCTACTGGCAGCGATGGTTGTTTCCATTGTCAGGCACAGTCTCTGACTTGAATATTTTTCCTGAATTGTTTCTGATGGTCGCAAGGTAGGATTTGGTCCAGAGTGGGATAGAAAGTATTTAAGTACCAATAAAAAAGTATCGATAAAATGTGTGGGTATTTTTTAAAGTAAAATATGGGAGTCGTATGAGATGACGTCTAAGTCCCTTGTAGCTCTAAGTTGCTGATGCCGGGATCTCGGATCCTATGAGGATTCTCCCTCCCTCGTGGACATCAGCTTCCTTCTCCTTGTGTCTCTGTGCGTCCCCCAGGGAGACCTTCACGAGCTGGGCAAGCTGCTGATGCAGGGCTCCTTCAGCGTCTGGACCGACCACAAGAAGGGCCACAACAAGGTCAAGGATTTGGCCAGGTTCAAACCCATGCAGCGTCACCTCTTCCTCTACGCCAAGCTCCTGCTCTTCTGCAAGAAGCGAGAGGACAGTGCAGACGGGCACGAGAAGTCTCCCTCGTACAGCTTTAAAAATTCTCTCAAGGTAACGACAATAGTAAAAAGAAGAGTCCTCCAAAGGACATCAGGCTGGAATGGAGGGAGGCACATATGCTGGTGAGAGGCATGTTCACTGAAATCACCCCGGGCTAGGTAGAGGCTGATACTTGTATCACCTCATGTTAAAGCACTTTATTTTATCCTTGCATCACCTTCTTTTAAAAGCACTTTATTAAAAAAAAATGATGTCTTTTGTTTTATATCACCGGCTTTTTTCAGTATCTCCTTCCTTCTACTCTCTCCCAGAGTCATCTCTTTTATAATAAAGACTAAAAAAACAAAACAAAACAAAACAAAAAATCCAAAAAACAGTTCATCAAAACTAACCCATCAACCAAGTCCTAAATACCATGTAGCGATTCTAACCCATAGTCCCCTACCTCTACAGTGAACAAATGAATGAAAGCATTTATTAAGTACTTATGTGTGCCAAATTCTGTGTTAAGTGCTAGGGATATAAATGAGGAAAGTGAGTCTGAAAGAGCTCATAGTTTAATTGGAGGAAACAATACATACAAGAGAGTTCAGCTTGCAGGACAGATGGAAACATGCAGCTGTCCAAAGAGTATAGACGGGAAGGAAATATTCATACAGTGTTTTTAGGTTTGCATTGTGCCTTATATACATTATTTAATTTGATCCTCAGTCAGTCCACAAGCATTTACTGAGCTCTTACTGTGAGTCAGTTATATACTACATGCTAGGAATAGAAATACAGGAAGACAGTCCACGCCCTTAAGGGACTTACACTCTAATGAGGGAAGAACATATATAAAAGGAGGCTGAAAAGCTGGTAGGGAGACGTGAAGGTGTCCTGTACTAGGAGCATGGAAGAAAAAATGTCCAGAGTGCTGCTTGGGGAGGAATGAGACATGGCTGGCTGGCTCTGGTACCCTCCTTAAGGGGAAATTCTAGAAGAGCCATCCAATCAGAGGGAGAGCTCTCCAGGGTCCCTCCAATGGGTTAATCTCCGGGCTTCAGTGAGCTTCACAAAGACCTAGAAAAGGAGGTACTATTATTATTGCCATTTTAGAGACTGGACCAGTAATTGGATGAACATAAGGCACTCCCAAGCAAAGGAACTCCCTCTAACCAATGTAGATTATCACCTTCTCTCCATTTTATAATGTTAGAGAGTTGTCTAAAGAACTGAGAGGTTAATTGACCTGCTCAGGGTCACACAGCTAATAAATGTCAGAGATGGAATTTGAATCCAACTTTCTACAAGTCCAGCCCTCTAATGGATATTACCTCTTTAGATTTAGATATCTATATATCTATCTGTATGTATGTATATGTATATATCTATACACATATACACACATATATACACATTATAATATCTCTCTAATTTAGTCCTCACAACAATTCCATGAGATATAGGTTCCATAGTTGTAATTATTAACCCCATTTTGCAGATGGGGAAACTGAGGCTCAGGGTCACAGAGCTAGTAAAAATCAGAAGTGAGATTTAAATCCAAATCTTCTTGTCTCATTATTGCATTCTCCTGGATGAAGTTATTGATTATTTCTATGATTTGTTGTTTGATCCACTCATTCTTTAGGATTAGATTGTTGAGTTTCCAATTAATTTTTGGCCTATCTTTCCATGGCCCTTTATTACATATAATTTTTATTGTATCATGATCTGAAAAGGATGCATTTAATATTTCTTCCTTTCTATGTTGTTTTGTGAGGTTTTTATGCCCTGGTACATGGTCAATTTTTGTGCAGGTGCCATGGACCGCCGAGAAAAAGGTGTATTCCTTTCTGTCCCCATTCAGTTTTCTCCAGAAGTCAACCCCATTTAACTTTTCTAAAATTCTGTTGATCTCCTTAACTTCTTTCTTGTATATTTTGTGTTTAGATTCATCTAGTTCAGAGAGGGGAAGGTTGAGGTCCCCCGCTAGTATAGTTTTGCTGCCTATTTCTTCCTGTATCTCCCTAAACCCAGATCTTCCTAAACCCAGATCTTCTTGACCATTAGTCTAATACTAATTTCTCTGTGCCCACAACCAAAGGGAGGGATTGGCAAGAACGCAGGAAAGTGCCTCCAAAAAAGCAAACAGTTGCCAACACAGACAATGGAAGGGCAAGGAATCAGCCCAGTGGCAGATTCAGGCTGGTGCTGCTGCTGGTGACAGGTCATGTGAGGCCCCTCCATAGGGAAGGGGGGTCAGAGTCTGTCCCTTTGTACTTCCCTCCTGAGCCCTGGCTTTGGAGGGAAGTTGCTGATTTTTATCACTTCACTGGTTTTTTTCCCAGAGCCCAGCAGAATTTGTGCTGCTCACAAGCAGCTGACAAAGCCGGGCCTCACCCTGGGGAAGGTATGAGCCTGCAGCTGCCTCCTTGAAGAATTTGTTAGGGATCAGCCAGGTGGCACAGTGGATAGAGCTCCGGCCTTGGAGTCAGGAGGACCTGAGTTCAAATCTGATCTTAGACACTTGACACTTACTAGCTGTGTGACCCTAGGCAAGTCATTTAACCCCATTGCCTACCCCCAAAAAAATTTTTTAAAAAAAGAAAAGAATTTAGTAGGATTCATTTTCAGTTTCCAAAATTCTCCGCCTTTGCCCTTTTGCCAGAGGAATGCGCCTGAGCCTGGCCTAAGGTCCTGTGGAAGATGTGGGTTTGATGACGGATTGTCTCACGCTTCCTGTGTTACTCTGGGCTAGTCACTAAGCCTCTCTCTCTCAGGGCCTCAATTTCCTTATCTATAAAATGAAAGAGTTAGACTATATCATGGGCTCATTGATTGAGAGCTAGAAGGGACCTCAGAAGACATTCAGTCCTCCTATTTTACAGAGGAGGAAACTGAGGCCAAGGACTGTGAAGTGACTTGCCCAGGGTCCCCCAGCTAATAAATGTGTGGGATTCAAAGCCAGGTCTTCCGACTCTGTACCTGAACTCCATCCATTATACCACCGTACTTTTCAATGACCTCTAGTACTAGCACCTACCTCCCAGGACTTTTGTGAGGATTAAATGAGATAATACATCTGGATTAGAATCTCCCTTTTGCAAGAAAGCGTCTCCCTCTTTCCTTCCACCGGCAGATGGGGTAACTAAGGATAAATAACTTGCCCAGAGTCACACTGCTAGTAGTGTCTGAGGCTGGATTTGAACTCAGGTCTTCCTGACTCCAGACCCGCTCTCTGTGTATTGTGCTACTTGGCTTCCAGGAAGGTGATGCTGTCGTCCTGGTCAGAGCAGTCTCCCCAGCCTACAGGAGGTCCTAAGAAAGAACACATATCTTGGTGTGCTGAACGTGATGGCCATCACTGGCCAGGTTCCACCCCTCCCCCTGACCAGGTAGGGTCAGTTTCAGAACTTGACAACCTGCCCCTGCAAGGGAAGAACTGGGTGCTTAGAAACCAAGGGAGTTCAAACTCCTGCGTCAGTGTATTTACCCAGATATTCCTAAATCAGTTTTAAATGAACTCCTTACCTGCATTGCTGGGTGCTGCTTCTTCAGTTTTTCACAATAACTTCTCTTGTTTCCTATTATGATCATTCCACTGACTCTGAAGAAAGGGTCAAAGTGTATTTTTTAAATCCCTGTTATTTCCAAAGCCCACATTTGCACTGGGGCTTCACACAAGCAACTGAACCTTGCTCCCTGAATGTCCATTAGCCAAGAACTAAGGAAGTCTTACAGGTGGGAGATGACTCTGGAGATATAGATATGCCCAAGAAAAGGCAGGTGAGGTAGAGTAGAAGCACTTCGCTGAGAATGAGGAAATACCAGGGTTTGAAATCTGCCTCTGACACTTACAGGCTGTATGATCCTGGACAAAGTTTCTAAATCTCTCTGAGCCTCAGTTTCTTCATCTGTAAAACAGAGGAGATCAATTGTATCAGCAGCAGTCGCCTTATATGGCTATTGTGAGGCTAATTGTGAGATCGTGCATATGAAGGTGTTTATAGACTTTAAAGGCTACCATAAAAAAAAAAAAATCTAGGCCTACAGCCCTGGCCAGAGCTGGCTGAGGTTACAGGGGGATTACTCAAGAAGTAAGAAAGAGCTAATTCATTGAGGTCACCCCACCTGCCTCCTTATGAAGGTGACAGTTGGGGAAGAATGAGGTCACCAGCAATTTACAAATGTTCATTAGCAGAAGTTGGGTAGGTGGAAGGAAAGAGGAAAGTGTTCTCTTGCAAAAGGGAGATTCTGATCCAGATGTACTCTCAGTGATTTGTCCATTTACAAGATAATTTTGCAAGTCTTCAATTGACAGGCTTTGTTTGCTACATAGATTCTTAGGACTCGAAGACACATGCTATTTTTTTCATTAAGAATATTATTATATGTAATTACATATTGTGTTATATGTAATATTGTATATATAATGTTATATTACATTGCTATATATTATATATAAAACATTGAGTATAATATTATTCTTAACAAAAAAAAATCTTTAACAGATCAGATTCCTAATACTAAATAGAAGAAAAATGGTGACAATAATTATTAAAACGAAAAATTAAAGGAAAGCACATAAGCAAGAGTTTTGGATTAATATAGGCCCCCAAGTATAGTAGTAAGGAAAACATTTGGTGTGCCTAAGGAAAAATTGGCATGTTGGTGTAAACCCAGATCAAAAGATATATTGGTACATGATGGGTCCAAACAGCCAGCAGAAGATATAAGCTTCTATTCAAATATTGGAAGGTTAAAAAATAAATTGTGAGAACTGGAATTCTTAGGAGGATGCTTAGGATGCATCTCACAAAGTGGGTGGAATGATACTTTCAGAATACAAATCCTATTGGAAAGAAAAGAAAGGAACAAAACACTTTGACGGTGATATTCTATGTTAGAAATAGCAATACTGATGTAAAATTCTTGCTGTGCATGTAATCTCTGTGAATGGAAATTTCATGGTAAATCAAATGTTATAGAATCTGTTATCCTGGAAAAAAAATGGAAGCTGTTAGGGAAGCTGAAGAGTTTGGCCAAATAACCACAGGTCCTTTCAATGCCCACTGGTACCTTGATGGATGAGCTCATTAGGATGAAGTGTAGAAGGGGGCGAGACCCTCCTAAAGAGGAACAAATGGAATGTTGATGAAGAAACATGCTAGATCCATCGGTTTTCCTCAGATGCTTCCCCATCACAGGGAAGCTCGAAAGCTGTCCACAGTGACTCTGGGGTGCCCAGGAATTAGGGATGACAGTGTAAAGCGGGTATTCCTAAGCAGGCATTCTCCCTTTGGAGAGGGCTTATGATTGTTGCAATGCTTTCCAAAAGGCGGGTTATTGCAGCTGATTTAGGGCTTTGATAGAATAGGTGAATATTGAGCATCCTCTGAAGGGAAAAAACCATACGATATTAGGAAAACAATGGTTTGGAATGTTCTAATGGTAAAGGAGCACAGCATATTAAGAGTATGAAGGAAGGGAAAATGGATTAATTTAAAAAGAGAAGGAACAGGAAGTGTCTTTTCATCTTGACATTACCCTACTAACACTGACTGTTGTAATCAACCAGAATGTTTGGGCTTCTCCATGTGGACTTCATATACATCTTTGTAGTCACTGTGCATATTGTTCTTTTGATTTCGCTTTATTCACTCTGGGCAATTAAAAAAAAAGTCACAGAATAAACCTGGCAATATCTTTTTTAAACTGGAAAAAAAAGAGAAGGATGATGAAATGTAACTGATTACCAAGGGAATGTTTTACAGAAAAAAAAATCCAGGCACCTCTTTTACTTGATAACTTAAAGCAATATGAAGTTATTTCTTCTCCTTTCATTCAGAAATTTCATTGTTGGAGAGCTCTAAAATGGATAATAGTCAGGAGTTTGTTAAGCTAAAAAAAATTAGTTGAATATTGCTGGATTTGAGATAATAGTCTTATTTGAGAGTCATTAATTATGAATAATAATAGTTTTATAATTTTATTTATCTCCCTTTGGATGAACATGGCCACATAAATGTATAAAATTATTCCCTTGTGGAATAGTTCTAATAATTCATTATGCCTCCAAGTCTAGCATTTAAAAGCATTTACACATTAGTTAATGGATGAGACAAGTTAAACAATAAACATATGAGAGGAAGTTAAAGGCCATTAAAAATATGAGTAGGAGAATATATATATATAAATACAGACAGAAAGATTAAAGCAATAATTATAAGCTTAGTAACCAACAAATTCAGACACTTAAATACATGAATAGGAATTTTTTAAATGATTGTAAATAGCTATTATTTATAGCTTATATAGAAAAAAGACGCTAACTTTAACCAGATAGCAATCATACCATTTGTTTCTGCGTCCCTTTCGAAATGTTTATTTCTCTGTACAATTTTTCTGGATTTTGTGCCAGTTATTATTTGAATAATTATAGTCAGTATATACGTTCTTTTTGATTCTTCTCATATCACTGAATTACTCCATATATTTCCCTGTATTTCTTTGAGTTCTTCATTTATCTCATTTCATATGGCATAATAACAAATTGAGATCTGGGAAAGACCTTAATTTAGAAAGGCCAAGGTCACCGGCTGCATCCTGCGGTCATCGCCAGTCATCTTGACTTTTGTCTTGCCACTGGGCTTCGATGCCTGGAGGAGAGAGGGAGGCTCAGCTCTGCCTCACTTAAATCCAATTCACATAGATGGCTAGAGAGAGATAGCCAGAGAGAAAGCCACCAAAAGAGACAGAGACAGTCAGAGATAGAGAGAGACAGAGACTAAGAGACTAGAAGGCATGGGAAGGAAAGGCGACCAGGGCAATTCATCCTTGGAAAATAGAAAACAGTGATTCCAAGCATTTCTTTTCTCTTTCTGCATTAGATGGGCATGGTTGGCATCACAGAAAATGTGAAAGGAGACAACAAGAAGTTTGAGATTTGGTACAATGGTCGGGAAGAAGTGTACATCATTCAGGTAAGCCCTCTGCCTAGCTGGGTGGATTCTCTTTTCCCACTGGAAAAGATCTTCTATCAGTCAGTCAGTCAGACCATCATTTATTAACATGGTGCCTAGTGCATAGTAGGCATTTAATAAATGCTTGGGGACTGGCTGACTATTCAAAAGGTCACCTAGGGGAGGCTATAATCCCTGAACACACAAAAGGGCAATGTCTATCATAATTGATTCATTCCGACGCCCATCGAGTTCCTCTCTGTGATTCTGTCTATGTAGGCATCTTCAGTAGAATTGAAAAACCTCTGGGTTTCTGAGATCCGGAAAGTCTTGACGGGACAACTGGAAGCTTGCAGAGGTAGGGGATCCCTTCCTTCCTCCTCTCCTCCGGGAGTCCTCCATGACAACACTTCCCCTTCACCTTCCACACGTGGCAGGAGGAAGGGACTTTGGTGGCCATCTAGTTCAACCCATACATGGGAAATAAAACCTTCACAATGTATCCAAGTAATGGGGTCATCCAACTTTTGTTTGAAGCCTTCTGGTGAGGAGGAATCCATTACTTTCCAAGGTGGCCCCATCTACTTTTCCCTCTGGGGCTTAGTCTATGTCTGTGCCCATAGCGTTCTATGCAGAATTCATACTCTTTGGAAACAGACCCTCCTCAATTCATGCAGCACTTTCCATCTCACTGAGTTCTTCCCTCCCAAGAACCCTGGGAGGCAGGTGCTGCTGGGGGCATTAGCCCCATTTTACAGGGCATAACAACAGCATGGAGGTTCCTGCCAGAACTCAAACCCAGGCCTTCCTACTCCCAAGGCTCCTTCCTCAACACCAGGCTGAATCTTTGTGTCATCAATTTCTGGGCGCATGGATAAAAGTTGTGAAGAGAGAGCCCCAGTGGGTGGGCAGTGTTAATTCAGAGATGTGAAAGAGGAGCCATGTTTCTCTTCTGAGACCAGCACATTGCCTCAGGAGGATAAGTTTCACTTTATGTGAATAAGTGTGAAACTATACATAGAATAGAAAGAGGCAAAAACCCAGAGACCAAATTGAAACCTGATAATTAGGCATGGTATCTGCCTGGAGAGATGAAAACAAGGGCTTGGCCCTGTCTACCAGGCGTAGGTCCAGGGTAAAGGAAGGAAAAGATAAGAGACGGTTGTTTCTGATTTGTGCCAAGTTAATGAGAGTCAGCTAGCAAATTACTCTCAGTTTGAATTCCCATCTTGCTTTGAATATGCCTCTGGGACATTTAAAGTTGTACATGAGTGCCCTATGATCTTCCACCCTCTTCCCCACAGGGCAGAGAAATCACTGAGCTCCAGTGGAAAGTACCAAACAGGTGGTTGCATGGGATGCTCATGACAGCCCTCCATACTAGAGGCATTACTAGCCCCATTTTGCAGATGAAGAAACTAAAACTGAGAGTTCCAGGGACATGCCCAGAGGGTCACATGACTAGTCATTGTTAGAAAAGTGGAATTCAAACTCAGATCTGTCTTGACTCCAAGCAAATTGCAGGTTTGGAAGGAACCTCAGAGGTGATCTAAGCCAGCCTCTGCCTTGAGGCAAAAATCCCCCCTACAGGATCCCTGACAATGGTCTTATGAACTATGCTTGTAGATCTCCACTGACAGAGACCTCACTACAGTGAGTAAGTTGTGGCAACCCTGCTCTTTGTGTCTGAGCCCACTGGTGAAAGTGGAAAATGCATAGACTGTGAGGCCAGAGTCATGTGTTGAATGTTCAAGTCAATTCCTTTTGCACAGAGAAGAGAATGATGTTCCCCGGTCACAGAATCCAACTTTAAACTGCAGCATCAGAGCCCATTCTGGACTCAGGAGGCCTCAGTCCTAATCTCAGCTCTGACGCTCACACCTTCTGTGGCCTTCAGCACATCACTTCTCTGGGTCTCTGATTCCTCTTCTATAAGATGAAGGGGTTGGACTAGAGGTCCTCTGAAGTCTCTTTCCTCTCTAGAAGTGGGATCCTAGGCTCCTCCCTGTCTCCTACATGGACAGTGCTGATCGGGAGGTTTGAGGAATAAAAGCCTGTAAGAAGTGGCTCATTCCCAACCTGTTCTATCCCCACTAAATTAACTCCACTGATGGTGGGTCGTAGCTGGGTAGCTGAAAGGAGAGGGGTGGGCTGTCCTTGACTGAGTCTGACTGAGTTATGAAGGGGCCTGACAAAATAAGCTGATTTGGGTAATTTGGCCTGAACCATTCCTAGCAGGGTCTTTTTTTTTGAAGTTTTATTGATGGTCTTTTTTTCACTGTTACTTCTCAGTAAATTCCTCCCACCATCCTCCACTTCCCCCACATTAGCACCATCCCTCATAGTAAAAAAAGTACATTTAGCAAAACAAATCAAACACATTGACCAATAGTATATGCCTCATTCTGCACCTATCGTCCACCACCTCTCTTCTAGGTAGGTGTTCAGTATCAGTCTGCATAAGTCAGAATTAGTCACTGCCATCATCTTCATCTTCATCATAGCATTTATCAACATTTTAAGATCTACAAAGCACTTTACAAATATGATCTTGTTTTATCCTCATAACAACCTTGAGAGGTTAGGTAATATTGTTGTCCTCATTTTACGGATGAGGAAAATGAGGTAAACAGAGGTTAAGTGACTTGCCCAGGGTCACACGACTAGTAAGATCTTGTCTCAGGCCAGATTTGAACTCAGGTCTTCCTGACTCCGTGTACAGCACTCAATCCATTGCGCCACCTAGTTACCTGTTGTTAGCTCTCTTTAATCACACTTAAATTATGTTCATCATGTCACACTACTGACCCACCATCATAGGAGGTAGGCTTTGGGTTGTTTCCAAGGTAGTTAAAATATCTTTGCACCAAACCATCCATCCGCTTGTAACCAGTGGTTTGTAGCGTCAGGCTGGCCAGCAGGTTTGGGAGTGTAGTATGTAGCTGTGGAATGAGACAGTGAACCCATCCTCAGTAGGAGACTTGGCTATGGGGAGCCAACCCAAGGATTTGGCCTTGTTTGTATTTTATTTGAACCAAATCCAGAGCTCCTCCAACTTCCTCTGCTTCTCACTTGACCTTCACATACATTACCTACTGGGTAGGAAGTTGCAGAACTAAGAGCCTTTCCCCAACTAAAGGCCTCAGCTGAGTTTCCCCAGAAAAACCCCATGAGGATGTGGATTAGGAGGTTGGAATGCAGTTCTCAAATCAAAACGGGAGATGCCAGACAGAGAAATCAATGCACCATATCTGTGGGGGAAATCAGTCCAGGACATTTACTCTTATCCACTCACTCATTTATGCATTCATTTATTCAAATAAATACGGCAATATCAAATACTATAGCACAGTCAAAAAATATGAGAGAGGAGCCAACAGACAAGACAGGGAAATAAATGCTGAGCCCAGAATTCCACGAGAGCTCTTGGCGCTCATCTTCTCTGCTGTGCCCCGCCTTTGACAGGTGAGGAAACTGAGGTGCAGAGGAGCATAGTGACTTGCTTGTGGTCACACAGAGCATTAGTGGCAGAGTCTCAATTAGAACTCAGGTCTCTTTAGTCACAGTCTGGGGTCCTGCTTCTTACACTTACACCCAAACACGAAGCCATTAAGAACACACAAAGCAGGAGTTTGTGTTTAAAAATGAGGGGTGCATAGGGTGAATGAGTTCAGAGGAAGTGGAGATGACTGTGGGCTGGCAGAGCTCACTGCAGTTACCTGGGCTAGACCTGGAAAGACCCCCGATGAGGAGAGGGTAAAGAAAGGGCGTCCAGGCAGTGAGATTAGCCCAAACAGAGATTCTGGGTCAGAAATGAGCACTGGGTATTTAGGAGGCAGTGGAATGTTGTGGGAGAGAAGGAGGGCGTGAGGGGAAGAAAGGGAGGATAATGAGGAGAACAGGAGAAAGATGGAGAAGAGGAGGAGGATGGATAAAAAGGGGAGGAAGGGAGGAGGATGGAAAAGGGAGGAAGCTGGAGAGGAGGAAGAGGGGGATGGGAAAGAGGAAGAAGAGAAGGAAGGTGGGAGGGGAAGAGAGGGGAGAAAAAGAAGGAGGAAAAGTAAGATGGAGAGAAGGAAGAGGAGGATGCCGAAGAAAAAGAGGAAAAGGAAGAGGAAAATAGGAGGACGAGAGAAAAGGAAAAAGAGGGGGAAGAAGAGGAAGATGGACAGGAAGAGGAGGGGAGGATGGAGAGGAAAAGAGATGACGATTGTGATCACTGTGGCAGTGGTGGAGTGTGTAGAGTGAAAAGGCGTGCTGGCTGTGGAGTCAGAAGATTTTGGCTCAAATCCCACTAAGGCTCTTTCTAGCTCTGTCTCACTCCGTTATCTGAATTCATCCCAAAGCTGTTATTCAATCACAAAAAGCAGTTATTTTCTCCACCTGTATGACCAACTGCAATCCATTAATCAGTGTGTGTTTTTTGCAAAACTGTGCACAGACAAAAAGGAAACACAGTTCCTACCCTCCTGCAGCTTACATTCTACTAGGGAGGGAGGAAGTTAGCATCAACCAATCACTGATCATCAGTGAAGCCCTTGCCATGTGCCAACAATTAAACAATTGCTCTCAATAAATTGACATTTTAATAGAGGGGATGACAAGTACATAAATATAAAATCAATCAATATCTACTAAACAATATCAAGCCAGATGGTGACTTGTCCTCCAACCAGTCCTATCTGAACTTCATTGAAAAAAGATGAGATGATGATGCCAATGCTGATGCTTGCTAACAACCACTCACATTCATAGAGCTGTTTACAGATAGTGTCTCATCTGATCCTCACAACCCTGCGAGGTAGGTGTGATGTTGATTCCCATTTTATAGAGGAGGAAAGAGACAAAGAGAGGTTAGGAGACCAGCCCTGGGTCTCACACTCTTAGCGTGTGTCTTAGGCTGGATTTGGGCCAGTGTATGGAGGACAGGGAACCTGGGCGGAGGAGCCTGGCCCTCATCCTCTAGTGTTGAGGGCCAAGGACTCATCCACACTCAACTGGCTGGGCTTCTCCACCGTCACCGACCAGCTTGGCCCCTGGGTGGTTGGTCCCAGGTGTTCTCACTTGAGGCTGTGTGTGTGTATCCCCCCAATTCCATTCTGTTGTGCCGGGCTCTGTTCTAGGCCTTGGAAATAGTAAGATGGGAAAACAAACAAAGATATTCCTGCCTTCAGGGAGCTTTTAGTCTATTCGATGTGTCTCCACTAAGGTGCTCACTCTGAAGCACCCCCCCACTAACATAAGTGAAAAAAAGGAAGTGAAATCAGCGAAAGGCAATGGGATAATGAAGTGGCTAAGGTCTAAGTGACTAAGGCCCATGTGCTATGTTAAGGACACATTCTTCAGGCAGGTTTTGTCTCTGTTCTAACCATTGACATGTCACGCTCTCTAATCCGCTCCAGTGAGGTTTTAGCCTCCCCATGACAGGATGAAGTCTAAACTGAGATGAGGGGCACCTGCCCTGACTGACACTGCTGATTGAATCTCCTTCAGTTTCCCACCATGATTCCTCCCATCTGGCCCACCAGCCTCCCCACCATCCCCCACAAATTCCCTATGCCCATTTCTAGCTCAACGCCTTTGGTTAGGCCGTACCCGAAGCCTACATCCCTATCCTTGCCAGGTCTACCCAGGGACCCCTCCCCCTGGGGAGGCATCACCTGAAGGAGCATTGATACAGTTTGTCAGTCTGTCATCAAGCATTTATTAACCACCTACTATGTGTCAGGCACTGTGTTAAGCACTGGGCATAGAAAGAAAGACAAAAACATAGTCTCTGCCCTCAAGGAGCTCATATTCCAATGGGATACACAACTATGCATGTGTAGATGAGACTATGGGTTCATGTCCTCTGACCCCATTGGAACCAGCAGATTGGGTCCTCCAAAGAAGGCTACTGCTGCCCTTCAAGGGGCCAGGCCTGGTTGTCTAATATTGTCCCCCTGCCCTGCCCATATGAGTTGACCAGTTAACATCTCCTTAGATATCCCAGCACTTAGCACAGTGCCTGGCACATAGTAGGTTCTCAAAATGCTTATCGGATTGGATATCACTTAGTCAGTTACCATCAATGAGCTTTTACAAAGGGAGAGTTACTGAGAAGGTAGAGCAGTGACAGAAACGTTATCAACACCCCAAACCAGGAGAGCTTCTTGACCACTTCAGTGGGGGGGGGGGGGAGATAGTGACCACACCTGCCTGAAGCGTGTCCTTATTACAGCCCGGGCCCAGGCTCAGGTGGTCCTTGGCCTCTCTCCCCTGGGCTGTGCTTTACCTGCCCAGGTGTGAGGAGAGCTGGGCTTGAGCGTGGGAGTATCCCACGTCAACCACCACTAGTGACTGTGTTGTCTGAGGGAGGGCCCACGGGAAGACCCCAGATGCTTAGTAGCTGCATGACCCTGGGCAAGTCCCTTCATCTCTCGGAGCCTCAGTTTCTTCATTCACAAGATGGGGCTAATAATAACCCAACATGGCTTTGAGAGGATCGAATGAGATCATCTAGGAAGTGCTTTGCAAACCTCAAAATGCTATAGAAATGCTACTACTACATCTACTCTTGCTGCTATTATTATTATTCAAGTCTTTTCTGATTCTCCCCAGCTGCCCATGCCCTTCCTCCCTCAACTTATTGTTCAGTGGTGTCTGACTCTTCCTGACCCCATTTGGGGTTTTCTTGGCAGAGATGCTGGAGTGGTTTGCCCTTTCCTTCTCTAGCTCATTTCACCGATGAGGAAACGGAGGCAGGCTGGGTCACACAGCTAGGAAGTGTCTGAGGCTGGAGTTGAACTCCGTCTTCCTGACCCCAGGCCTGGGTGCTCTAGCCACTGTCTCACCTAGCTGCCCCAGGTTGTTCCCTCCGCTTCGCTTGTACCTTTTTTTGTAGTCATGCAGGGTGAAAGACCTTATGCCACAATGCATGAAGAGCTGACTTTCAAGGCAGGAAGACTGGATTCAAAGCCTGCCTGTGACACACACTGGCTGCCTGATCCTGGGCCAGACGCGACTTCTCAGGTTCAAGGCAACTCTCCAAGACTCGAGAAGATGGCAGAGAAGGCTCCAGCCTGTATTGGTAGAGAGAGTTTCCTATACCAGTGAACCACAGTCTGGTCCCCATATCGTGGCCCAGAGGCAAGCTGTGTGGCTCAGAGGGTACAGCACCGGGTCTGGAGTCAGGAAGACCCACTTTCAAATCCAGCCTCAGACACTTAGCTGTGTGACTGTGGGCAAGTCACTCAAATGCCTTCTGCCTCAGTTTCCTCATCTGTAAAATGGGGGTAACAGCACCTACCTCCCTGGGTTGCTGTAAGAATTAAGCCAGACAATATTTGTAAAGCACTAAGCACAGTGCCTGGCGCATAGAAGATGCTATGTAAATGTTAGCTACCTTGATTATTATTGTTTGTGGAGAGTTCAGAATGGCCCGGTGGTTTGACGCATACCTGTAAATCTTACTAGCCACACAATCCTTGGCAAATCACTTGAGCTCTGAGCCTCGGTTTACTTGTCTGTAAGATGGGATCGTGTCGGGGAAGTATTTTGCAGACCGCAGAGCCATGTGTAGATATTAGCCATTATTCTCCCTGGAGTTCTGCTATCAAAGGCTGGATGACTCACACCTCCCCCCGCAACCCCCAATGTCAGCTCTGCCACCAAGGAGATTCTTGCGAGAGGGAGGAAGCCTTTTCCTTCCTTTCCAGGCCCATGGGATGTAGCCCACCAGCCCAGTGCACCCCATGAATGATGCAGAGCCCTGGGAAAGGGGCAACTTGGTTGCCTTTTTAACTTCAGATGTACTAATGCCCTCATACCCAGGCAGGCAAGGCCGCAGAGCAGGCCCCTCCTCGGCTCCGCACTTATTCCTGGGAGGGTGATGGACGTTATCGGTGCCCTCCAGAGGGGCCCAGGAGAGCATGGCAAACAGATCTGTGGGTGGCTTTCCGGCCTGGGGGGCTGGTTACCTTTGGATACTGTCTTCACTCAGTTGCCTAAATGAGCTATTTTCCAGGCAAGCAGCTACCGCTACCAACTCACAAAGACCAAGAGGTAGAAATGGTTCTGATTAAAGTATTCTTCCTGAGATTGGGAGGGCTGGGCCCTCTCATTGATGCTGGCAGTGGTAGCATTACAGGGATGGTGGATTACAAGGATTGTTAGCAGCAAGATGGGATGGATGGATGAATGGATGGATGGATTGATGGACGAATGTAAAAGTGTTTATTAAAGGTACCCAGGGATGAAGTTCAGAGAGCACAGCCAATGAGGAATTATGAGATGGCTGCCCTGGGGACCTTCCTCAACTGGGAGATATGGAAGGAGCTCTCCACTGTCACCCCTCCACCCTCCAGAAAGCTTGATGAAATAATGCACAGATTCCTTCAATACCTGATTGATCCTAGACATAAGTGAATCAATAAAATTAGGTAGTAAACTTCTGGATGATTAAGAGGTTTTTTTTTGCTTTTTTACCTTTTTCTTCAAACAGAAGCAAGTCAACTACACCAAAGAATCACAGAAAGCGTCTACCATGCACCTATGGACACTTCCAGCTCCTCCAGGTAAATATCCCCCACCCCGGGGTTCCTCGCACAGCTTTATGCTCCTTTACCATAGTAGTTATTCTGCATTTGCACAGAATCTCTATACAGAGAAGCATCGTGTCAGGCAGTCATCAATAAGCAAGCATTTATTAAGCACCTACTGAGTGCCAGGCACTGTGCTAGGCACTGGGAATAAAAACCAATCGGGGGAAAAATACTATTAAAAAAATAAAAGCACACACACACACACAAAAACCCCAGTCAACCAATTAATTAGCCATTACTGTCAAGAAATTGATATACTAATGGAGTTAATGGGTACATAAGAATATTAGTATAAAGAAATAATAATATAAAAGAAATACAAATAAAAACAATAAAGTAAATAAATACAAAGTAATTTGGAGGGAGAACAGTAGCAGCTGAGGGTGGGGGACAGGAGGTTAGGAGAGACTTTCTGTAGAACAGAGGTGTCAAACTCACCACCTCGGTGCAAAACTCCCCAGTGTGGCCCAAACCAGATTAAAATGTAATTGGAAAATGTTTAACAAAATAAATAAAAATACAACATAACATAGATCATGTTAATTTGTGATTTTCTAAGTTGAGTGCAGTGAGGTGGTGCAGTGGATAGAGTACCAGGCCTAGATTCAGGAAGACTTATCTTCCTGAGTTCAAATCTGGCCTCAGACACTCTGTCTGGGTGACCATGGACAAGTTATTTAACCCTGTTTGCCTCAGTTTCTTCCTCTGTCAAATGAGCTGGAGAAGGGAATGGCAAACCACTCCAGTATCTTTGCCAAGAAAACCCCAAATAGGGTCACAGAGTCAGGCACAACTGAATAACAAGAAGTCCATATGAGTCCATTTGATTCCACCGATGCAGAAGGTGGTGTGTCAGAGGCATCTTAAGGGATTCCCTGAGGCAGTGGTGGGGAAGAGATGCCCACTGTCTGCCGTGGTCAGTCTACATGCAGGTTGGCACCCAGAGTTCTGGGTGCCATGTTTTAGGAAGGGAAGGGACAAGCTGGAAGAAAACAAGGATGCTGATTAGACCAGAATCATTGCTGTTAGAGAAACTGGAAGTGAGCAGGTGCGAGATATATTTAATAAACCCACATACTCTGTCATCTGTCAGGCCACCTTCCACACCTACACAGATTTGTGGCCAATCCTCTTGAGGCCTTCTGGACACTAGGAAGTAAAGTACCTAGAAGAGCTGGGCCCTGTTCACTGATAATAATAGTTTACATAGAACTCTAAGGTTTGCAAAGGGCTTAACAGATAGCATCTCTCTTGATCCTCACAAGCCTGTGAGGTAGGTCTTATCATCCTCTGGCAGATGAGGAAACTGAGGCAGACAGAAGTTAAATGATTTGCCTAGGGTCACACAGCTAGTAAATGTCAAAGGCCAGATGTGCCCTTGAGTCTTCTGACTCCAAGCTCAGTGCCATCTACTGCATTCCCAGCTGCCAAGGCTCAAGGGAGACTCAAGATGCTTGAATGATCATTTTGTGTTTAAGGAGTAGAGGGGAAATACTTATGTGAGTGATGAGACATATAAGTGAAGACCTTCCAAGCACAGGGACTTCTGGGGGAAATTCCTGAGTGGGTACAAACATGCAAATCTATCCCAAAAAAGACCTGTGTAGTGAAAATAGAATTCTTAATAAGAGGATGGCTGAGATGACAAGCAGGGGCTGATGGCCACCTGGCAAAGGCAGAAGAGTCCCTGAGTGCTCTTTGGCCCCCCAGGAATAGAGAAGAAGTGGGGCAAAGAGAGCTCGACTCCCCCAGCCTCCCACAGGGAAAAGAGCAGAAACCCTGGCCCTGTCCTGGTCCTTCTTCCTGAGACCCCAGCCTGCCATCTCTGCCTGAGATGGGGAAGCGGCTCTATCCCTTCTACAGTCTAAGCTTTGTCAACTCCCAGGATCAGTGGGACCCCACTGTCCTCTCTGGAGACGGGCTCTTCTCTGTCCAAGGTCCTTCAGCCAATTCCCTACACATGCAAGCATCTCAGGGCTGCCATCATGGGGACTATTAAACCCACCCGGCCAGGGTGCTGTGAGCTGCTAACTTAAGATAGGACCTGAGATGGCTGAGTGGGCAGATCCTGATGAACTCCCCCATGGATAGGGTGATATTAGCCAGCTTGTTGCCCAGCCCACAGTGCCAAAGCAGGAAAATTCCTAACGGTGCAAACAGGGATAAATGGAAGACTTAAAGACATGAGAATATTAACCTGAGGAAGAGGAGACTTGGGGTGAAGAGTAGAGGGAAGACATGATAACTGTGGTCAAGAATATGAAGGATTGTCATGTGAAACAGAGATTAGATTTGTTCTTACTGGCCCCTGAGGGCAGAACCAGGAACAAAAAGTCACAAAGAGACAGATTTAGGTTTTTGTTGTTGTTGTTGAGTTGTTTCAGTGATGTCCGACTCTTTGTGACCCCATTTGGGGTTTTCTTGGCAAAGATAGGACAGTGGTTTGTCATTTCCTTCTCCAGATCATTTTACAGCTGAGGAAACTGAGGCAAACAGGGTTAAGTGACTTGCCCAGGGTCACATAGCTGGTATCTGCAGTCAGATTTGAACTCAAGTCTGCTCTATCCACTGCACCTCCTAGCTTCGGATGTAAGGGAAAGCTTGTTCTGTAGCAGAACAGCCCCCTTGGAAGATGGTGGTTTCTTCTTTCACTGGAGGACTCCAAGCTAGACCTCTTGTCCCAAACATAGTCAAGGGGACTTGGGGTTACGTAAGCTGGCATCTTCCAACTCAGAGATTCTGTCAAGTTGCATGACTCCTTCCTTTTTCTCATCTGTAAAATGGCATAGCCAAATGTGCATGACCATGAAACCAGTGGGAGATTGGACTTGGTGAAGGAGAATGAAAAGCAAGAAACCAAAGGCGAAGGAATCATGGCAAGTTGACTGCTCACCACAGACTCCTGTCTAGGGCTGGGCTCCAGGCAAGACTGCTTTATTGGAAACTTAATCATCAACCTTTCAACACGTTCCAGTGCCATAAAACCAAGAAACTGCAAGGGAAACTGTGAGAATTAGCAGAGCCAGACAAGGAAGGAGATGCTTCTCATTTCTCATTTCAGCTGAGCTCAGCTCCTAGTATTGGGATCATAGTTGAGCTGTATCCAGCCCAACCCAAACCCCACCTCCATTTTGCAGATAAGGAAAGGGAGGCCCCATGAATTTAAGTGGTTTACCCAAAGTCACCCAGATAGAAAGTGGCAGAGGTTGAATTTTTTTTTGGTTTTTTTTCATTAATAAATTTATTTATTTTTAGTTTTCAACATTTACTTCCACAAGATTTTGAGTTCCAGATTTTCACCCCATCTTGCCCCTCCCTCCACCCCAAGATGGCATGCATTCTGAATACCCCTTCCCTTAGTCTGCTTTCCCTTCTGTCTCTCCCCCCTTCTCTTATCCCCTTCCCCTTCTATTTTCCTGTAGGGCAGGAAAGATTTCTGTACCCCATTTCCTGTATTTCTTATTTCCCAGTTGCATGTGAAAACATTTTTTTAAATGTGTTTTTAAAACTTTGGGTTCCAAATTTTTTCCCTTCCTCCTTCCCCACCCACCCTCATTGAAAAGGCAAGCAACTCAATATAGGTAATACATGTGCAGTTATGCAAAATACTTCCATAGTAGACATGCTGTGAAAAACTAACTCTATTTCCCTTAATCCTATCCTGCCCCCCCATTTATTCTATTCTTTCTTTTGACCCTGCCTCTCCTCAGAAATATTTTCTTCTGATTACCCCCTTTCCCAATTTGCCCTCCTCTTTATCATCCCCCTACTCTCTTGTCCCCTTTCCCCATTATTTTCCTGTAGGGTAAGACAGATTTCCATACCCAATTGAGTGTATATGTTATTCCCTCCTTAAGTCAAATCCTATGAGAATAAGATTCACTCATTCCCTCTCACCTTTCCCCATTTCCCCTCCACTGTAAGAGCCTTTTCTTCTCTGTTTTTTTTTGTGAGATAATTTACCCTGTTCTACCTCTCCCTTTCTCCTTCTTCTAGTATAATCCTCTTTCACCCCTTAATTTTATTCTTCAGATATGACCCTTTCATCATCAACTCACCCTGTACCCTCTATCTATCCATCCATCCATCTATCTATCTATCTATATACATACATACATATAATTTTTTCCCTCCAATTACCCTAATACTGACAAAGGTCTCTTGAGTTACAAATATCATCTTTCCATGCAGGAATGTAAACAGTTCAACCTTAATAAGTCTCTTATGATTTCTTTTCCTGGTTACCTCTTCATGTTCCACTTGAGACTTGTATTTGAAAGTCAAATTTTCTATTCAGCTCTGGTCTTTTCATCAAGAATGCTTGAAAGTCCTCTATTTCACTGAATGAGCATTTTTTCCCCTGAAAGATTATACTCAGTTTTGCTGGGTAGGTGGCAGAAGTTGAATTTTAACTGGAGAGGTAAGGGAGGAAAGGTCACATCTTCTATATCTTGGAAATAGCAGCCTTTAGCTTTTGTCTTAACTATATATATATATATATATATACACACACATATATATGTGTGTATATATATATATACATGTGTATATATGTGTGTGTATATGTATATATATACATGTGTATATATGTGTGTGTATATGTATATATATATATGCCCCCTTCTACTTTTTAAAGCAAGGGAGGTAAAAAGCTTTGCTTGCTCACATAAGCAAGTCCTGGAGTTGAGTCTTGTGGTGTTTCCACAGACTTTCAAAGGTTTTTCTTTGTTTAGACCTCTGTGCCCAGATAAGGTGATCCCACAACCCAAAAAGTAATCCAGCAATGACCAGCAATGAAGTGTGCTACCCATCACCTGGCCAATATGGGGTGGGTTCATGGTATACAACTCCTTTTCTGAAATAGCCAATGTAGGAATTTGGTTTTTTTGTGACTACATATATTTGTTGTAAGAGTTCTTCCCTCCCACTGGGGGTAGGAGGGAGAAGGGGGCTAGGGTTAGGAAGAAAGGGAA